GGGCATTTTATTCTAGGTTATTTTGCAATGACAGTCGATTTTTATGTACCAATAGTGGAAGGGGCCACTACCATATCTGTAATACAGCTGAAACTTGCTGATGTTCTTCATTAGACTTGGATAGGTTTTTACAGAATGTTTTTGGTTGTATCTATGCTATACTAAGTGTATAATATTAATTTTTTTTAAGGGGGGACATCATCGAATGACTGCTCCCGCCTGGGTGAGGCATGAGGGAGTGTCAGACTCTTACTGGCTAAAAACCACCCCGTTCCTTCTCCTGCACGTCGAGCTGGAGCCCCAGTTACCCGTTAGGTTCTCCGCGACTGAGTGTATAATAAATAGATGTGTTTCGTAGACTTCTCTGAGACTATGACTTAATTGTTTTTAATTTTTTATACAAAGTACGGTTACGTTATATGCAAAGGATATTGTATGTCATTGTCATAGAAAAAGTACATATAAAAGCTCCAATACCCAAGTGTTTACCTCTCAACAACGTACCTATGTAGGTAAGTACGTATATACAAAAGAACGATTCTTCGCTTCTTTCACGTCCAGTGATTAAGAGCTCCATAAACTTCTCAGAACTCCCCTCTGCAAACTGGTTTCCTTAGCACGGGAGGGGCGGGGGAGGTCTTCGTATAATGGTCGAGTATTTATTTTATTCCGGAGCGTCATTTTTGCCACGACTCCCCTTTAGAAGATCGTTTTTGTAGGGCGTCCGGCGAAGGCGATGTTGCTCTTTAGTGGCCCTGGAAAATGAGTTATTTATTTTGTTAGTGTTTCGTTGAAACATATTTTTGTGGTGGATAGACACATATCACTAATCTATTTGATGGGACGCAAACATAGAAAAGTTTTCAAAAGTATAGAATAATCAGCATCTCAGAAGAAAAGTAACAGCAAAAAGATTATTAAATTCTTTCACAAAAGTAACATGACTTTTATACGTGACATTGTTAGTAAAGTTAAGTACATTGTTAGTTAGTAAAGTTTTTAATTCTTTAAGGTTTAAGGTTATGACTTTTATTCAAACAATATATATACAAGTAAAGAAAAATCTTTTTAATTGCTGACAAAAATAACATTTAAAAACATTACCCTCCTTCTTTGGCAGTCGGGTAAAAAGAGGCGACGGTCGCAACTCAGCGAGCGTCCAGCCTCGCTATCTTTTTGTGAGACTTTACTTTCTTCAAATAATTGTATAGATAACGCGGGACAAAGAAACGAACGCCCCCAGACCCCCAGACCCCTAGGGGGTGGAAAAAGGGGGACATTTTTACTGTAGTACCCCCTTTGATCAAGTAACATTTTGACGAAGCGTTGTTTTAATTATTTTGAGAAAAATCGAGCTCCATAAAATTGAAGATGAATTTTCTCGGAGACTTTTCTTTGAAATATTGTACGATGTATTTTTCTTTTTTAATTGTTTTTCGTGTCTAACTTAGTGAGGGTGCAATTTTGTTTGTGAATTATGCTTTAGAATATTATTCATATCTACAGTAAGACGTAGTTTTCATGCTTTTTTTTAAGTAAATTAAGATTGCTTTTCAGGCAAGGAAATTGAAAAAAGGCCCACGTAATATGACTTAGAAATTATTGATTATATGTGCGTGTGTAATGAGTTACCACGTTACCAGACTTAAGAAAATGACAGATGTCCTTCGTGTCAATGTGTGCATGTTTTGCGTGTAAGTGTATAGTAGCCTGATGCCACAGTCATTGTTTCGAAAGACTGTGTCCCTCTATTTTTAACGTCTTTGTTTTCAGTGTATGTATGTATTTTTTTTTCTCTTTATTTATTTACAGGACTTTTATCTAAAGACATGTCAGTCCTATTGATACAAATCAAGAAACCCTTAAACTAGTTGACTTAAAATAATAATACAAGCAAAAGCAAAAAAAATAAAAATTGACAATCAAATAACAAGACTCACTTAATACATAATAATAGAATTAAACTATACCATTAAAAGGAAACCGATCACAAAGGAATTCAACAAAATATTAGGTTGTTAGGGAATTACTAAAAATATTATACAGTTTTTTGGCTGCTTCCGAGTTGGGATTGGACAATATTGTATGTACAGGGAGTTACTGGATGCAGGTCGCTTCCAACCGGCCGATCTGAAAGTCACTGAGGGAGGGTTTTGTGGACATTTTGTGGCTCTTATGATGATCATGATGTGTGACATATGCTTATGATTAACCAGGTTCAAGGTAAGTCATGTCTTACCTCATTACCTCATTACATTTTTACCTATGTAATTTATACTTTTAGTAATAATTTTAATATAGATGTGGTTAATTGTAGTGTATAACTAGGTACCTTCTTTACTTTATAAAAATTGATTAGACATATTGTAATAAAAAAAGTGTACGACAAGGGCACGGACCAAGAGTCCGTGGAGAATTATTCTGTCATAATATAATAAAAAAAACCGCATTACCTCTAGAGCAATAAGTCGATTGTTATCATTTACGTATTTCTTTCTTCTTTTCGTTTAGAAAACGTTGCCCTACACGAGGATTTTCTCCTGCATCGTGGGTGCGTTTACAAACATACAAGTTCACATACACATGAAAGAGTTGTTCCGTGCGGGAATCTAGCCCGTGACAAGTTACGTGACAGTCAGCGCAATTGAAATGTATTCCTAATTAAACACATGTGCTGTTAATTCATGATTGGAAGCGGTTTTATTACTGTACCTATATAGGCGACCATTCTAGTCTTTCATTACTTTTGGAATAGATTAACCCACTACCATTTTGCGTGACCTAAAAATCGAACCGCGGCCACTAGACAAAGAGGCGCTTCACAGAAATAAGTGTCATAGAACCGTTGGAAATTAATTAACGATTAATTTGTGAATCTAATTGTTTTATGATTTTATTGCTTCGCTTTTGTTTTATCTACGCAAATTATAGAAAATTATTTGATTTAGTCGTTGACTTGCTTCTCTAATTTAAGTCGTAGTAGGCGTAACATAACGTCACGCCTTTTATCCCTGAAGGGGTAGACAGAGGTGCACATTACGACATTTAATACCACTGTACAATGTAACACCCACTTCTTATTAAGTCAAGCTTCCGTTCCGTTTCGGGTTCGATTCCCGGGTCGGGTAAAGTATTACTAAGTTTTTTCAAAAATTTCAGTAGTAGCACGGAGTCTGGATTGTGCCCGGTATATGGTAATAGGCTCACCCCCTATTACATGGGACTCATAACATAAATAGTGAAAAGTGAGTGTTACATTATACAGTGGCATTAAGTGCCGGAATGTACACCTCTGCCTATCACTTCGGGGTTAAAAAGGCGTGATGTTATGTCATGTTCCGTTCCGAAACAAGTCCAGTATCCGTTTTAATTTGAAAATTTGTAACAAATCCTGAAGCTCACTAATCGCACTTACTACCACATGACCAGGAGACCGTCTCAAATAATAATAATAATCATCATGAGCCTATACGTGGCCACTGATCTGACTATAGGCCTCTTCCCACACGAAGAAGGTTTGAGCATTAAACCACGCTTGCTCAATGCGGGTTGGTGATTTCAAACTAATAATTCGAAATCATAAGCCCAGGTTTCCTCACGATGTTTTCCTTCACCGTTTGTCAGTAGTGTCTCTAAATAATCTTAGAAAGTACATATAACTCGGAAAAAGTCACATTGGTACTTGCCGTTGGTAGGTTTCGAACGCGCGCCCTTATGTATGATAAGGGTCTTCAACCTCTGGGTAATTTAAAGTAATATAAGTTTATTAATAAGACTAATAAAAACCACTAGCACTACTGCAATTAGCTTACTGCCGCGTGGGCAGGGACGTCATGCATTCGTAAATGTTCTGTCGGTGGCGCTGTGGGCTGGGTCATTCCGTTCCCTACGAAATGGTTGATCGGACCGATTACTGGCCTACACGTTATACTCGTGAACGGGTGCCTTCTGCTGGAACAGGTCGGCTCGATCATCGTGCTGGTGGGCCGATTCAGCATATAATAATTAGGTAACAACCACAGATATAGATATGTAACAACATAAAGTACTGTGTGTGATATTAGTGGTTGGCGTAGCATGTAAGATCTTTATAAAAATTATTTGACCATGAAAATCATGTACTTGTAATATGAAAAGGGCACGGACACAAGTCCGTGGAGAAATTCAATTTCTTTATCAAAAAAAAACCTCCAGTTCTCTACCATCCATATTATACCTATATCCGCTTTAAAACTCAGTTTTCTAGAAATAAGTCATCTTTAAGATGTCGACTTTAATTTAAAACGTCTTATAGTTTTCTATTTTAATTATTCAACACAAGGGAGTCTACGAAATACTGTCATTACCATTCCAATAAGGCCATTTCATCCCTTCTTGATGGAACACAGATCACCCCTTTCTTTTTTCAAAAGAAGAAGATAGCAATACGCAAAATACAGAAGTCGGAAAGAGATGGAAAGCTGACCGCTTCACGAATTTTAATTTTCCCACTATTTGAATCTTAATTTTTCGCGGGGCGAGTTGCTTTCTCTGTTTCTCCTTGAGGGGGTCGTTATTCCGTCCTTGTTCCCCTTTTTTTTGTTGTGAAGGGGTGAGGGGGACGTCTTATCTTATTGTAGGTGGTTATGTTAATTTCTTTCTTTGCTCTCTGTTGAGGTAATCGGTCTGTTTTTTATTACTTTTCTTGGAAACGTAGATTTGTTTTTGGAAGCCAAAACAAGGGTTACTTATTTGTTTAAAGTATTTAATTGATGTGGACTTTTGTTAATGTTTTTGTTGTTTGTAAGTAAATTGTAAAGAAATGTTTCTTTATGAATTGTAAGGAGGATATTATTATGAAGTTTTAGCACGGTTTTTTTTAAGGGGGGAAAATCATCGAATGACTGCTCTTGCCTGGGTGAGGCGGGAGGGAGTGTCAGACTCTTGACTGACTAAAAACCACCCCGTTCCTTCTCCTGCACGTCGAGCCGGAGCCCCGGTTACCCGTTAGGTTCTCCGCGACTCCGAATCGGCATCGGCCCTATTGAGCCCCATCTGTGGTGGTCTGATGGCTCTTTGAGGCGCGCGCGGAACGAGACGCGCCGTACGCTCGGGTCTGTTTCTGGTCGGACGGTTCGAGCCACCCATGCTCGCCGACCGCCCGACCTGATAAACGTATGTGACAGATAGTTCATACAACTTACGTTGTTGAAGAAATATAACGCAGGGTTCTGACCACTAGTCGATTATTATTCTCATGGGTTGAGTGGTGGTAACTGCGACTTCTGTCATAGCGGATTTTAGTTTTCCGAAAAATTTTGAGTAGGTTGGTAGGTAGTTTGGAATTTTGGTCGGTGTATAGCAATACGTCATAGTATTAATTTCAATATTAATGCTTTAATAGGCAGTTTTGCAACGTCAAATTTAAATTGTCCGTCAGTATGTTTGCCCAAGCTTTATTACATGTCACTTATAACGCAACTGGTGAAAGTGAATATTATATTGTATATTAATTAGGTACACATCTGCCTACCCCTTTAAGGATTGAAAGGATATTCTTTTGTACTTTGAACTTCTCTAGGTTTTATTATAGACTCGGTATCAATTACGTTATAATAATAAATGTACCTAAGTAAGTAGTTACCTTGTGGAGTCTATTCTCTTTTTACGTCTTTAGGGAGAATAAGTGTCATGGTATCTTTATTTTAAAATAGGATGTAATAGAGGTTTGTTTTGTAGTTAAATTTATATCTATATTAATAATTTCGTCAAGGGG